ATAGAAATTTAGAAAATTAAATTCAATATTTTATAATTTATTTTTGGGGATTACATATTAAATTCGAAAAACTCAATAAACTATAAATATAATACACTATCAAATAATCTTATTCGGATAACAGAATCATGTGTTACTACTCGATAGCATAAAAAGTAATGAAAAATAATATTGATATTTTCAAGTTTTTAATATAGTTAATTAAAAAAAATTGGTGCATCTTTATGTCGAGTACGAGAAAAAACAATAGTTTTTAAAATTAATTAACGGTAAAAATTTGTTTCAATTATTTCTCTTTGATAATGGTGGCTAATATTCAAAGTGTTCCATATAATTTATATTTACTCTAGTTGAGCAAAAATATATTGGGTACAACGATTTTTCAATATCAAACAATATTTAGAAAATTATAAAATTTTATGAATATTTTCTCACGATAAAAAAATTATTATGCGTAAAAAATAAATTTGCGTGCTATTTACCTTTAACGACCTCTCCGGATAGTTATCCTTATGTTAGAGAGGACGGGAATATCTGCAAAGTTCAACGCAACAGAATCGAACACCACCGATTTTGATTCTTTATAAAGCTTCTCTGTGTCTTAATAAATATCCGCTAAAAAAACATATGTCTAAATGCAGTTTAAATTTCTAATGGAACATAGAATTGCCCCGAAACTGGCTAATATAAAATTTAATAAAGGTCATTAATGCGTAAATTCAATTTGATAGATGTTATCAAATGTATCCTAGTGATGTACTAGGAAGTACATATTTATCAATAATATCCTAACGCCAAATAATTAATCAAAATCAGATGACCGAATTGAGTTTGTACTCACATTAGTGATGGGCATAATCGAATGATTTCGATAATCGAATGATTAGTAATCGAGACATTTTCATAATCGAGTGAATCTCTCGAAAAATCACTCGAAGTTAAAATCGTCTGCTCGTATGATAAGAATAATCAACTATTATTATTTATCGAGAGAATCGAAAAATTATTTGAAATATGAATAAATATACCTATAGTAAATAATTATTAATTTAATTTTGCTTTTTTTATTTGTTGGTGTTTATTTATAATTATTATATTAAACTATAATTTAGGAATAATAATAACAATAATATATTAATAATGCATTATTAATAAGTGCTTTAAATAAAAGACAAGTTGTTATTTTTATTATTTAATAATTATTACCTATATTTTAAAAAAACCGATAACAAATTTAAAAATAAAAACATAAGATAAGGTAGCAATAGCCTGCTTGACCATCATAATTAAAACACCTAATTCCACACCTAATTGATTTTTCATAAATTCACAACTAGTGAGAGAATCAGAACTCAGTAGTTTAGCCAGTTCAGGACAAAACTTTGTTCTAATCGTCACATACTTCCCAAAAATGTGACAGATAAGGTGTTGTCATGAGTAGCGATTGAACGAGTTGAAAATAAGAAGACTCGAAGTCAACAATTTAATAATAATTCGACTATAATTTATGCTAAATAAAAACTTAAAAATAGTATTCTCTCGTTTCATCGTTTCATGGACATCATTCGAAATAACTTTTATTCGATTATATACATTTCAAGATCAAGAAATCATTGTTTTTATAATAAACGAGAAATCATTAGAAATAATCACTCGATTATAGAATAATCAATATTATTTAAAAAATCAGAATATCTCGATTATATAATAGATATGATTTCAATAATCGAAATATCTCGATTATGCCCATCACTAACTCACATCTGTTTTTAGTAATGTTTTAGAATTAGTAGGAAAATAATTAAAACAATTACGACTATTTTTTTTAGGATTTTAACAAACTAAACTAGATTTAGCTAAATGTGTAATTTTATGTTACATAGACCAACTTTTAATATAACTTAAAACTTTTTCGCTATTGTCAGAATCATACAAAAATAAGTAATCAACAAATTATTATACATAAAATATATATAATTCATATATATACAGGGTGATTTTTTTATCATAATCCACTCAATTACTTACAGAATAATAATTTAAAAATTTTTTTTTATTACTATCTTTAGTTACACATTATTCTTGAATTATTAACTATGTAATACTTTTTAAGTTCATCCCTTATGCCTGGTAAGGGTGTCAACTTTGTTTTTTTAAATGGTAACACATATTTTTAATTTAATAAAATGTTTGAGTTTTTAATTCAATAGTAAATGGCATTTGAATTTTTAATAAAACTTAATTTGTTTATTAGATATAAACATTTAAAGTTTCAAATTTTTGAGTTAATATATAGGTATAATACACAAGGGATTACAAATACAGGTAGCTAATTGGTTTTTTATGACATCGATATTAGCAGGTACACAGCATTGTTATTATCAATGATAGTAAGGTACATTGTTGTGAGTTTATAAATACACTAACTGACAATACAAAAAGTATATCTATTGATAATCATAATTGATAATAAACAATCCTTGATTGTGATAGAATATCATAAAAAACCAATTAGCTACCTGTATTTATAATCCCTTGTGTATTATACCTATATATTAACTCAAAAATTTGAAACTTTAAATGTTTATATCTAATAAACAAATTAAGTTTCATTAAAAATTCAAATGCCATTTACTATTGAATTAAAAACTCAAACATTTTATTAAATTAAAAATACGTGTTACCATTTAAAAAAACAAAGTTGACACCCTTACCAGGCATAAGGGATGAACTTAAAAAGTATTACATAGTTAATAATTCAAGAATAATTTATAACTAAAGATAATAATAAAAAAAAAAATTTTAATTATTATTATTCTGTAAGTAATTGAGTGGGTTATGATAAAAAAATCACCCTGTATATATACATAAATTATTTTAATTTGAGTTCATTTTATCACATTGATTACCTTTAATAAATCCTGAAGTTGCAAGACCTGATAAATCACCAAAATCTTTAGTTAAGTTGTGGTGATGAACTGGATTAAATGCAATATACTGATTGACAATGTTACTAGTGTTTTTAACATGAAAATCATAACTTTAAAAAAACTTGTTTGTAAAATATTTTTGATATATATTAATTTAAATTTTATTTTATTTTAATTAGTTCGACTGAAGTCAAAAATGTGAAATAATACTTTTTGAAAAATAATCCATCAATTATCGAATGTAATTATACAAACTTTTAAGAATTGTATCAACTCTATTATAACATGTTGATATTGTTGATAATATTATCGCAATAAAATACAATATATCCATAGGTGTAAATGGGGTTCTGTTTTAGCTACTTAACATCCCCAAGTTCAAAATTCTATTTGCGTCTATGAATGTATTAATATTAGATGCATCTCGTTAGTCAAATTCACTAATCGTTAACTATAATAAGAAAATATTTTTTATAGGTAAATGTAACACGTCATCTAAAACATTTTCATTGCAATAGTTGTAATGAAAAATTAATTTTTACTCTTACATATTAATCACACAATTTTTTGTATCTTCTGAAGAATAGTCACAAAACACTTCATATTGTAGGCTTAATTTGCTATAGTGAACAAGGCTGACGTATAGAAGCAAATCAGAAGAACTTAGAGGGGTTTAACGCATTTGAAACTAAAAAAAAGTTACAAGCATCGTTTAAAAAATTTTAAATATCAGGAAAGGGTTATAACAAAAGCCCCCCAACATTTTTTTGGAAATTGTACATGTAACCTAACATTATAAAAAAATAAAATTTTAAAATATCCTCTTAAGTTATAAAGTTTTAAATCTTTCATTTTTTGTTATATGCAAATTTATTATAAAGTTATAGTAATTATATTACTAAACTCATTCAGTATTATGTACCATTCACTTAGGTGAAACTAGACCTTTGTGTTAGACCAGACCAAAAAATGTTAAACAAGTTTTTAATGACATGTTTTGTTTTATTAAAACTAGGAGAACTTAATCTATCATTAGTGAAAGAAATTAAATAGAAAAATTATAAACAAACCAACAAAGCATTTTTTATCTACCTATTTATCTATGATTATAGTGTATTATATTAATGTTAAATTCTTCAAATCAATATTCAACTATTTTCTACAAGATCACTTTAGGATGGTTGTATTACAAGGCACTAAAAAGGGTGACGGGGCTTCGTACTATCTTTTTTGAGGGGCCTTTTAGTAAAAAAAATCAATAAATAATGTTTCAACATATTTATAATAAAAATCAAAATAATAATGTCACTTTTAACAAAGTAAAAAAATTAAAAATGAAGTGTCGGTAAAAATATTATTTTCATAGCATTATATAACTTTATACAGTTATAAATATTTATATTTACATACCAATGGTTGTTTCTCATTTAAATACCAACACTAACCTATATTTTTAGTAGTACAATAGGATCAGGAAACATTCTATGCATCTAAGAATAGTACTTTATACATATAGTTTATACATACAAAGAATGTACGTGTAAAGAAATTTCAATATTTTTTATTTATTTCTAATATAGGATCACCTATTTGATAACGGGTGAATTTATTTTAAATTAATGGTACAGTTTGTATAGGTAATGCTTTAAAATGCAAAGCACACTTGTCATTCGCCTAACGCCGGCCGTGTAAACAATCATTTAAATTTATAAAATAAGAGACTATTAGTTATTATGTTTCGAATTGGTAAGAACTTCTACACGCTCTCTTTTTATTCGAAATTCTTTTTCGTCTTATTATTACCTATTTTGGCTCACACAAAAATCTTAAATTATAGTAGTTTAACAATTTTGTGACATTATTCCTGTGCCTGGTTAAATTTTATGCTTATTATCCGGAAAGGGTCTTAATATTAGGTTAGGTCATTGCTTAGACGATACGGATCGTAGTTTGATATTCCAATTACAAAAAAAATAGTTAAAATAATTTTATAAAAATTTATTATAAATGACATAATCAATAATACCAAGTTATTACTTTAAAATGACATTATTGAAAACACAAAAAATTACTAGGAAAAAGTCGGTTCCTTTACACTATAATACTAATCAATTAGACCTATTTATTTTGACTTCAAAAAGATACTCTCAAGTAATTTATTCTTTTATGATAACAACTGCGAAAGAAAACTAATGTATAACACAAATTCTTTTAATTATCAATTGAATTTTTTTATTTCTTTATAAATTAAACCTTTTAAATTATTGTAAAAATGATCTTTAGTAATTTTCAAACAAAACCTAGATTACAAAAAATAGATTATCTTATTAATTGATTACTTTTATTTATTTTTATATTATTTTAAGAAAAAATTGACATCACTTGTGTACATAACTATTTTAAATTAGATTAAAACCTAGATTTTTGTAATCTTCTAAAATTACCTTTTGACAAAATAAAATTAAGTTATTACTCATTGCTATATAAAAATCTGACAAATTTTCATTTTTCATGGTTTCTTTTATCGATTCAATATATTCATTCCTGTTTTTTTCATCGAATATTTTGTGTGGTACACAATATTTCATTTCATTGCCTATCAATTTATTTATATTTGGCTTGATTTTGTCATCGTGAAGTCGTTTTAATTCATTTAAGAACATATTCGCCACCTTTTCATTACCATTGCCATCCTTGTCAACAAATACATTAATAGAATTATATTTACGAGCCATTTTTTCTATGAAATTTTTATATGCTTTGATTATATTTTCTAAACGTAATTCATAAGCATATTTAAATTTATAATTTAAAATGGTTCTCATACTTTTTAATGCAGATAACATATTGTCTAACATATTCTGTGACTCATCCACTGAATGATAAAGTTGTAGAACACAATGTACAAAATTTTTCTTATAATTATCTTTATTTTTGTCATTGCATTGAGATATAATATTATTAATTAACACAGTGTAATGATGCAATATTTCAGTATATCTACATTTCAACAACTTATTAAGGTTGAATGCTTTCGTAGAAAAATTAGACGGATTCACATGGCCAGTAATTATATCATTGATGTGTAACAATTTATTATTATTGGTTAGAATTCTTATATAATGCAATACATTCCAACCACTTTGTTTTATAATAATATCTAATGCAGGAACATCCTTTGGCTGTGAATTAATTTCATTTGGTCTATATTGTCTGAAATATTTATAAGAAAATAATAAATTTACATAAATTAAAGTAGGTACCCTAATTTATTTTAATTTAAGTACCAATACTAATTTTAGTTAATAAATTTATAAAGCATATAACACTTACCCTAAAATTTCAAGATGTATTATTTTATTAAAGTCAAAATCATCGTAGTATTTTTTTATAGTGTAATGATAAAAATCTTTGAGAATGTTGCCCATATCACGAACATAATCACTTTTACCATCTAGGCAATTAATTGGTAGTTGTAATTCATAATAATCAAATATGTTAACAGTACTTTTGTTATAATAAAACGAGTCGTTTTTTTTAATGAAATTTTCCAATAGTAGTTTTGTAGTTTTTTCAAAAAATAGTTTAATACTAATAAATTCTTTAAGAACAGTATCCATATTTTCATTTGTAGCTAAATTTGACTTGGACTTAAAGTTAATAAATTGTTTGATTTGTAATAAGGCATCCCCTACAATCTGTGGTTGTAATATTATGGGAATATCTTTTGTTAGATAAAAATATATGTTACTTATAAAACATATAGCTTTGTACAATCGCTCATACATATCTATAGAATCTACTAAATTTTTTTTAAGTTGTTTTACGCAATCTACATATTCGTCTATTGATATATTTGATTGTTTATCTTCACAAATAATTACAAACATTTTTATAGCATCATTAAACGATTTTAATATTTCATAATACCTGTAGTTAAACACTAATGTTATTTGCTTGAATTTAGGTATTACATTGAATTCATTAATATCTGAAAAAAATATCTGGTTAACATTTACAATTTGTTTATCCATTCTTAATTGAATGTGTTGTAAATATTTCCACTCGTCTTGAAGTCGAAAATGATCCACCAAATCAATGAGATTATTTCTAAATACATTAAAATTCAAAGGATTTATATTTGATTGACAACTTATAACCGAAAAAAAAAAAAAATTCAAAATAAAAAAGTGTAATAGCATATTGTTTTAAAATTTTAAAAGTAAATTTATTTTACATAAAATAAATTTTTTTAATATTAAATGAATAATAATGATGTATCAAAATATTTATATATGAATTATTAAAGTTATAACTGACGTATTTGGAGTAAAAAAAAAGACAGCTGAAAACTTGTAGAGTTTTTAGTATAATATAATTGAAATTTTTAATAGAAATATACTATTTGTTGTGTAAATAACATTCAATGACGTGTACGTTTTCTAAAGAAAAAATTTTAGACACGAATTTACACACGAGGTGATATAAATTTATGAATATGTTTTTTTAGATATAAATGCTGTTACATTTTTACAATACATTTTTTTTTGTTAAACTATATTTTATATCTACAGGATTATTATATATTTATTTTATATTGATATATCATTAATCACTAAATTTCTTCTAAAATAAAAGTAATTTTGAAATAAAATTTCCAATTAAGCATAAAAAATTAAAACTTAATAGAAATGCTACTTAATATATTGTGACTAATTGGTAAAAATATAATTATGTAATATTTATTATTTAAAGAATCATTAAAAATAAAAGTCAAATATTGCTCTAGGCGTGGGACAAGATGATTTTTAATTCGGCAAGTTTACATACCATAGCTTAATTTAGATAATGCTTAAAAATTAATTATATATATTCCTCATTCATTATGGAGCCGCCATCTGTCCCATAAAGAATTTAAGATATTTTATACAATTTTTTAATTAGTCTACCAAGTAATTAAAAAAAAAATTGTAATGTAAAAATATTTAAAAGGGGTTATCAGGTCGAATAAACTTATTAATATCCATGGATATTTATTAAATTAATTTTTTTAATATCTAAGCTATGTCAATTAATTATATGTGAATTATTAAATATATAGAAAATTTTATGTACAAATAACGAAAAAAAAACAATTTTACTTATTTAATTTTTAACTCCCCCTGAAATTTCATAAAACCTAAAATTTAAAATACTTTTTATTTTATTTTTTGTTTTTATTTAGCTATTTGAAAATATACCAGGTGTACTCCTAATTAATTTCCGGTTTTTTTGTAAATAAAACACATAATTTCAAGGAAACCATATTAGTTATTTTATTCAAAATATTTTCCATCACTTTCTACACATTTTTTTCACCTTTCTGGTAAATTGTGGATACCACGCCAGTATAATTGACTGTCTTTGGAGGTGAACCACTCGGTGAGCCATTTCCGCAAATTTTCGTACGAGTCGAAGCGCTGCTCAGAAAGTGCATAGAGGTGGTAGTCGGATGGGGCCAGGTCTGGTGAGTAAGCCGCATGGTCAAGCACTTCCCACTTGAGTTTTTCCAGCGTGTTGCGAACGACTTTCGACTTATGCGATGGTGCATTGTCGTGTAGCAAAATCACCTTCTTCAGTCTTTCGTGATATTCTGGTCGGTTTTCCGCAATCACTCGGCTCAAATCTTTCATTTGTTGTTGGTAGCGAACGGCGGTCACAGTTTCACCAGGTTTCAGCAGTTCAAAGTAGATCACACCGGCGTGGTCCCACCACACACACAGCGTGACCTTCCGACCGTAACGATTTGACCGTGCCGTCGATGTCGATGCTTCACCTGGACTCACCCACGATTTGTTACGTTTAGGGTTCTCCAAGAAAATCCACTTTTCATCGCCAGTAACAACAGCAAAAAAGACTTTCTTTTGTACCGTTGAAGCAGCATTTCACACGTCACCTTTCGATTCTCCATTTGTCTCTCGGTCAGTTCATGCGGCACTCACTTTCCACACTTCAGAATTTTCCCCATGGCTCGCAGACGTTTGGAAATTGCTTGCTGTTGAACTCCCAGCGCATCTGCAAGCTGTCGTTGTGGCTGCGTGTTGTCTTCATCCAATAATGCTTGCAATTCGTCGTCATCAAACGTTTTTCGCTTGCCGGAGCGTGCGGCGTCGTTCAGGTCGAAATCTCCATTTTTGAATCGTCGAAACCACGTCGAAGTGTTAATGCACGATCGCCATAAACTTCCACAAGCGCACGGTGGCTCTCGGACACTTTTTTCCTTGATTGAACATGAAAATCAATGCATATGCTGAAAATTCGGTACATACGCTGACATTTTTGACGCGAAACAAAAACTTACTGGAAGAACCTTTTGCGGAAATGTCAACGCAAATTTAGACACTCGTTAACAACTAAACAAAATGACAGGTATGTGTGACCAACAGTGACACAAAACATAGAACGCCGTCTATCGAAAAAAACCGGAAATTAATTAGTAGTACACCTGGTATATATATTTATTTATTCACATTTAAGTTAAAAACTTACGCCGTAAACAATATTTTATAGTTATTGAAAAAAGAAATAAATGCGACGAAATAAAATATGAGTTAACTTAAATTATTTTCAAAAAATTTTTCATACAAAGGTCCCAAATATTACTAAATTTATTTTTTAATCCAATGTCTTTTTGCTCCATGTGTCAACTTGCCCCACTCTCCTCTATGTGTTTTTGAGCCACTTAAAATATAGTTGATTTTATATAGTTTGATAACCAAATCTATAAAATATAGTTTACTTGATTTTTTAAACCTGTAATTGAATGTGACAAAAAAAATATATAGAGTAATTTGAAATTAATAGCTAGAGAGCCATTATATTTCATAAATTAAAGTTTAGATTTATAAATGTATAAGATTTAATGAGTAAATAAACCAACGCGCTCTAGAATAACATTGAGTACTTAAGAAAGAGTTTTATAGTTGCAATATAGATGTCGCTAGAGTTATATCAAAAGTTGTTAATTTAAAAATGAACTAAAAAGTTCTACGAATATAATCTTATATATTTCTTTGAGTGCTTTATGTTACCGTTAACATGTATGCTATTATGTTTAGTGACTAAAATGAGATATTTCTTTAAGACAACCAAGGAGTGTCTAAAATAGAAATTGACATGTCAAAGAAGTATCTACGTTTCAACAATGCAATTTTGTGATTTTACATAAAATTTTAAAATATGACATCTAATAAATAAATAGTTTTATGTCAGTAAAATAGACTTCAACAACAATTGTCTTACTGTGACCTTGGATATCAATAAACGCACTATTAGATAAATATTTGCTTTCAATTTTAGCTGAGAATGTATATTGGTTTTATGTTAGTGTATTTTTTATGTTTGTCCACAAATATTCTCACTTGACCGATTTCAATGATCACTACATCAAAAAAATAAACCCCCTTTACTAAATTTTAATCTAGTAGAACCAATTGTCGCGAAAAATTAAAAAAAACTCCTCAATTTTATAAATTTAAAAACTGTTTTAAAATCATATTATTATAACAATTACATATTCAAAATATATTTTATGTATTTATTTGCCATATTACGGTCCTGTTAAATAATAAATATTTGACGTGTGTATAACTCTGTCGTCTAACGATACTTACACACATTTTCCCACTAACTTTGTGATTCTCGCCGTTGTTGGTGACTTGCGGCTCGATTTTTTTAGGGTACTTGTGAGTTGCTGCTCGGAATTTTTCGAAGTACATACTAATTACGACTATATATCTATTACATATTACTGCATATCAGTCTATAAGTGTTACCCAAGAAATACCACGAGGAGGTTGGCTGTGTCTCGTTTCCTAAAATATGTTTTTTTTTTAATTAAGCTTGATGTGTTTTAACAAATAATTAAAAAAATTCATTTTTTGTGTTATTGTGTGGTAAAAATTCAAAACTCAATGATTTTATATAATCTAATTGCTCTATTTCTTTATTTTCTAAACTTTGTCATTTGTTCTCCAATAAACGTTAATTATTCACTCATTTTTTCGTTTTTAATCCTTTACTTCCAGATTTTATGTAAGTCTTAAAATGAATTTCAAGTAACACACCAATAAAATTATATATGTTAGGATGGCTAGTATACAATCAATTACGTTGACAGTATCCAAAAAAATATTTCAAATAATCACTATTACACGTATTAGTGTTATGTATTTTAGATAGTCCAAAACTTTGGATTTTCCTCCAACAACTTTGTACAAAACGAAACCGACATCCTCTTATTTTCATATCGGACCAAACTTCAGGACTGTAAAGTGCTGGTTCAAAATCGAGTTATATATTGGAATGCACACGAGTAGGTAATATTGCATTTGTTAGGAGATAAAAAATACATATTTCTATTAATACTAATTTCTAAGTGCATGGATGGTAAATAGTTGAGTAAAATTCTTAAGACAGCTTTTTATCGTTCCATCAACGTAAGCTTTCTTAACATCACACAGCACTTTATATGTTGTCGGAATATCCCCTTGTATTAATACCAAACGAATAAGTTTTGCTGGTTTGCACGAAATGTCATCTAATGTTTTTCTTTTCAAATAATTACTTAAAATTTGCCTACTTAGTATTATTTTCGTCAGTTTTACCGTATTTGCAATCAGTATTACTCTCTACTACTTTATTTAAACAAGATAAAAACACTTACAATTTTTTACTCAGCTCTATCATCATCTTTAAGTTTTTTGTGAAAACGAAATTTAAAGCGAAATTAGATAATTGTGCTATTGATTGCTTCCACAAAAAACTCCATTGCAGCTGAATTTAGACTGGCAGTGTAAATGTAAAATGTTCTATTATAGTGATTTAAGCATCTAATAAAAACCGAAATTTGTATGATATTTATTATTACTATAATTATAAACGCGACATTTACTCAGACCGCAACACAACTCATGACTAAAGTTCATCTGGCCGGAACTCACCGGCATCCGATATCGTTCATAACACGTCGGCCGCAACTCACCCATAGCCCTCTTCGCATCCAGTTAGACCATTAAGCTTTGCACGACCGTCCATCCGACGTCCTTTTCATCCATCTATCTTGCGCCTCGACCAGCTCCGACTCCAAACTCCAAAATTGATGAGTATTCCTTTGACGTTTTCTCGTAAGTTTTTTTATGACTGTGATTCACATCGCAATCAGATATCATCGTACGTATCACAACTGTGCGGCGTCCTCACTGTACTGGGCTTTTTTTTTTTTTCATGAAATTTCTATATGCCTGTATTAAAATATTATTCAGGTATGGAAAATATCGTTTTCTAAACGCAATTCATAAGCAAACTGAAATTGAAAATTACAATATGCTCAGAGCTTTAACGTTTAAACAATATCTAGAAGACAAACTGAAAATAATATCATCAGCAAAATAGCCGGACACAATATAGGGCAAACGTTCTACGCATTTCTGCCTTGGCATTAGTCAATGGTGTAGCAGAATACTGTTGCCCGGTATGGGCCAGTAGTACTCATACTAAAAATGCCGACGCACAACATAGTCGAACAATGAGAATTATATCAGGATGTGACCAATAAACTGAACTGCTGGTACTCTCACACATAGCACCACCAGAAATTCGTGAACAGACAGCAACACCAAAAACGATCCGAAAAACACAAGCGTTCCAATTTATAATGACGTACATGAGGTGATTATCATAAGCCACTCGCAAAATCACTCTGTATAATGCGCCGAACAAAATATTGGAATTTAAACATTCTACACGGATGTTAAAAAACTGTGCTAATACAATAAAACATTTATGGAATGCACATTGGAAGGGTGGAATGGTATTTAATAACCATCTCATAATTGATCCGACTCAATTAACTCCTCCAGGTTTCGAATACCCGCATGTCTTTTGGAATTCTCTTAACCGCATAAAAACCGGATGGGGTAGATATAATTATTTAATGCATAAATGGGGAATGATGGACTCAACTCTCTACAGCTGTGGTCAGAACATTACCATGCAACAAAAAAATATTCATTTTTAAATATATACGTTGTGACTTAATGTCTGAATCATAAAGTTATACTACACAATCGACAAATTTTCACTCATTATTATGTTTCTATTTCATTGCAATAAAGAATTACAGAATTGAGCAAAATGACGATATTTTTAAATATAATGTTTTTAAAAAATTGTCTGCTTTTGGAGAAAAATGAGAATCATCCAATTTTTTTTTACATAATATCATCAACATATAATGTTTCATTATTAGTATTTACAAAGCTTATATGACTTAACAATATTCAACTATTTTGTCGTTGAATAACACCCAGTGTAGACAAAGTTTTTCGTTGAGAAATATCTCGACATTGCATGAGTTAAAAATAATTCTAATATGATGACTATAAGGTAAAGCTCGAAAGTATTTTTAATTATTCGCAACATCAATTCATTGGTCCTAATGTGTCAGACATGAGATGATGTTTTTATTGGAAATTCTTTATTAATTTTAAAAGCACTTACGAATCAATAACAGTTGATATGATTGTAGTAATTAGGTGAAAAAAATACCTGCTGCGTTTACCTATTGAGAATAGGTAAAAAAACTACTAATTTTTAAAATTATAGAGCGCTAATTATATAAAATAGTTTGAAAATATTAAAATGTTAACATATAACAAATTTTAATACTATTCATTTCCTTCCTAATTGCATGGTCTTCAGTAGTTCAGCACTAAATTAGAACTACAATTTTATTATATAATTAATATTGTAAATAAAACTAATTTTTATATTATTTTTAATTAACCTTACACGAAAATTGTAATATTTCAAATCAAAAATCTTTGTAATAGTTTTTAATGACAACATGATAATACATTTAATCGATTAAATTAATGACTTTGGAAATGTATAAAATTCTCCAGAGATTTTTATTTAAATATCTCATTAAAAATTTAAATGATCAACTGATTTCCTTAATTTATAGCTTTACTGTAAAGTCTTATCTTATACGAGATATTTCTACTTTAATTTTTTATATTATTACAATAAATTAAAAATAAATTTGTCTCAACTTTATTACAATTTAAATTACAAATAATACAGATCTTTAAACATGATGCGTACCTTTTTATCGATTTTTCTAATAGTTAATAGCATGGTTAAGAAATACTAAAGTTATTTTAAGCAGTTTAAGCAAATATTAATTATCTAATTCATATGAGTTAATTAGTTACTTGGTTAATAAATTATTACAGTAACTTAGGACGTAGTTGAGACATTTTAAAGGCAGTTAATATCTTTACTCACGGTAAGTGTAGTCAACAAAGTCATCATCTTCCGTCACACCATCATTGCTGCTCATTTTTTTTTTTTTTGCAACCTGTAACAGTTACCGCCATGAGAGAGTGAATAAATTTTTGATCAAGTGTACTTAAGTGCATTTTATTACTATAGAAAAATGTTTGATAAATACTTAAATTACTAATATTTTTGTAACGCCTTTTATACATTAACAATATTTGTCGTTACAAGCAAAACATAGACAAGTAACTAAAAGATATTTACCTTATGCAGGCTGTTGGTAATCAAACCACTATTTTTCGAGAAATGCCAATTTTTTAAATCTGATGCGGCGGCAGTCGCACGCGTTTCACGGCGTCGTTAACGTAATAATAATCATTTTAACTAAGCGACGTGCCGGCAAACGAAAAATATGGAACGCCACCAAAGTGATGAGCACCAGAACAGATTGGTTTTTTGGACTTGGATCAAAATAGCACTGGCCAGAGTACGTTTAAAAAAATAACATATGCGTTGCCGTAAAGATGGTGTAGGTTGTTTACGAAGGTCAAACAAAAGCGTATTATCACTGCACGAAATTATGCTCAAATGAAAGCAACGGACTTCTTAGCCATAGATTTTTATGCGACACCGTTTTAATATTTAATAAAAACGAAATAAGGTAAACAATTATTAAGTGAGTGTCTTTAATCATTATCAGAATTAAGTGAAAGTAATCTAAATCGCGATGATAGATGAAATTGTAGCACTGTTCAAAGTAAATTAGGTAAGTTCAGCACACATATTTCAAATTTAAAAATTCTTTGATTTATAAAATTATTGGCTCATAAAATTTTTAAACTGAGACGTCGATTTTAAATTTATATTTCACAATTCATCTTAAGTAAAAAACCGGAAACTAGTGTAAGAAAAAAATGTCTGCGCATTGAAACACAAAACTTGGTACGCTTTTAACATAAAAATACTTTTAAAGAGTCTCAACTGACAGTCTTAAAATCTGGACAATGAGCTTTAAAACACTTTGTAGTTGTCCGTTCATTTTAAATATTCCCACGTAAAATTTTCATATTCCCAATTAGCGATTGGAAATATCAAATAGTAACTATTCGATAGTTGTCCATTACTCATTCAATAACTATTCGAATAGTTGTAAAACTATTTGATAGTCTAATCGATGTGTCTTCAATTGTAGATACGTTCTAATAGGTTTCAACCTTCCGGATTAATAACTTAAAGAAGTTACCAATCACTGCGTTCAGATAATGATATCCATTCAAGACTATTATGACTCATAAATCTATAGTGCAAGTAACAGTAAAATGCACCAAAAAAAATTATTTAACACTACAAGCTAAAAACGGTAGCACAGTGAGGTCGAGGCACAGTGTAGACTAGGCATAGATGGGACAAGTATAGATGATATCTGACAGTGATTAAAATCACTATCATAAGAAACGCTTCGATGCAAATCTGTAGATAGTGTTTCATTTAGAGAAATTGGTGGATTATTCCAAAAGCAACATCAACTCTTATTTCTTTAATTATATCCTAATTAGTAGTTCTTTGATTTTAAAATATAATATATGAATAAATACTAATTATAATTATTAAATTTAGTATGAAATTGATATTCAATAATTTAATATTGTAATTTAAACGGACAAATTATATAAATGATAAAGAAGATGTATTTTGCTTTATTTTTACGTGTATAAAAATTTAAAGGACTTGATACAATAAATTTCAATAAAAACTGTTTGATACTATAAATAAATGCACTGAACTACAAGGAACTTTCATCAGTAACAAAAATATACCATTCTAAATCAACTTTTCGCGATGTTTTCAAATCTGCAATTAGACTTTATCTATCACTTTTAAGTTTTAATAATATTAAAAATTAGTATTTTCATATAAAAAATTCGCACCGAAGCTAAAAAATTGGCTATTTAAGCTAACTCAAATTTAAAAATTACTTTTTCGACTTTAAAAAAGTAAAAAAAATTTAATAAGTTTAATTTCTTATGTCTTATGAACTTTATTCTATGCCAATTAAATTATATAATATTCATGAAAGTCAATATATTCTCCTAATAAGATATTTTAAAATAAAATAAAATACAAAACCTAGAATTTTAATAGAAAAATAGCATATTTTTGAATACGGTAGCCATTTGCGCATACAAGATAGGTCATCGGGACAATTTTTTTTTTCATTTTAAAGTACATAAAATAAGCTTTAATTTTATATATGTTTAAAGGACGCAATATTTTCGGAACATTTTCAAAAATCAAGTTGAAAAAGTTAGTTTTTGTAAAAAAGATGCTATTTTAAATCCCCCCCCCCAATGAGCTGGTTAAGTGTTAGATTTAAAAAAAAAAATGATATAAAACAAAAGGAAATTACCTAAGGTTTCAATATAAAAAAATATTATTTTGATTTGTTAATATTTGAAAAAGTTATGGCAGTTTTAAGTACAAAAAACATCGTTATAGAAGATGATTTTTATCGCAAACATTACATTTTTTTTTTTAATTTCGACAGCCATTTGCACATAGAAGATAAGGTGTCAGGACAAATTTTATTTTTTCATTGTATAGTACATAAAATAAGCTTTAATTTTATATATGTTTAAAGCACGCAGTATTTCCGGAACACTTTCAAAAGTTAAGTTGAAAAAGTTCTATTTTTTATACAATATTTCAAGTTTTGAACACCCCCTATATATGAGGAAATTGACCAAAGACATTATGCAACTATAAAAAAAAATGTATTTTTATAATCATTATTGAAAAAATTATGTAAAGTAAAAAAATTTTTTAAAAATTTCAAAAGTTAGTGATTTTTAAATTTATAATTTTTTTTTGGAGATTTCCCCCATTTACGGGGAACGAGGGAAATTTGTTTGTATCATTAAAAAAAATCGGTTTGGTGAGAGCTGAGAAAAAGTGGTAACAGACACAAAAAAATCACATCGTAGTAAAATTAATACCTTCGTAGCTTTGGATCGAAGCTAAAAAGAATAAATAATTATTTTGTATGTATTATTTTTTTTAAAAGTTCCTTAAATGAAATTCATGAACTAGTATTATCACTTTTTTTAAACCTGTCTTGTGCTTTTCTGAAAAGTTATACAGTGTTTGCAAACTATACATTAAAAATTGCATATATGCTTTAAATTTTTCTTTAAATACAGTCTTATTCGTGTCATTGACCCTGTTAATATTATTCAAAACTATTCGATCATTTCATATGCCCAAGTAATTTTTCATATATTCACAATTAGATAGTACACTATTTTTAGTTTGCATCATGCGTCATAAATATATTTGTATTTGAATCTCTACAAATTGAATATATTACTGGTTGATTTTCGCTTCGATGCGAAGCAGAGAAGATATTATAATACTTTGTTTATTTATTTGTTTTTTATGTCTATCGTCACTTTTTCTCGCATCTTACTAGACCAATTTTTTTTCAACAATACGTCAAAATATCGCAAATATTATGTTGTTGAAGACAATGCTCTCAAAAATTGAAAAAATGTTCAACGTAAATTGAGGAAATCCAAAAAAGGAACAACGATTTTGAAATCGGTAAATTTTGATGATTTTAAAGTTTTTTTTAGTTATAACTATCACAATTTTTTTTTTAAACGAATGAATCAAAATATATTTAATTTTCTATAATTTTTTGAAACATTAATGAATTTATACAATAATTTTTTTTTAAACACTTCATAGATATCTCTTACACCTGACTCACTTTGTTAAAAAATTTAACGCTTTTCCTCATACAAGGGAAATAAAAAATTGTAAATGTTCCGAAAATACTTCGAACTTTAAATATATGTTAAACAAAAGCCTATGCTACATACTATTTATTTAATGTCTAAATATAAATATACTTTTAGACGAAAATAGCTAAATTTGGTGGTCATTTAAACTATAATTTCTATAATGAGAACGCCTTCATTTTTTTTATAATGGATTGTGATAAATAAACCGTAGCAGTACATTTATCACGATTATAAATAACCGTAATAAATGATATTCAATGAGCATTTGTATGAACTATTTTTTATTTTAGCGAAAATAATTGTTCGAGTAATAATTAAAATAATGATATATTTAATTATTAAAATTAAAATATACCACTTGGAAATGATAACATTATTTTTGTTCATATAAGTAATTATGATTTATTTTTCAGTACTGCGATTTAAAGATTTTGTATATTCAAAACTGAAAAAAATATATATAATTTTATTATTCAAACTATGCATAGTTTTTTTTTTAATATAGGTATTATAAATTTTACCCCTTTTTTGGTATAAAAGTCACCAACCTAATTCTCTAGGAGCTAAACCATGTATACACAATCAATGTATCATATAAATTCAAATTATAAAAGCAGAGTTTTTTGCTACATTTATTTCAAAACATTTACGAGCTACTTGAATTTAGAACGAAACTAATTATATTTTTTGTTCAACAGAGCGCGTTAAAAATCAGTATTTGTTATTATTTACATACTCTTATACAGTAATACTATTATACTTACAATATTTTTTTTAGATTATTGGACGATAATGATTGCACATATTACGATTGTAAATCTAATTTTTTCTGAAAAAAAAACAATTTTTCAAAGTACACGTGATTCTATTAATTTATTAAAAACTGTAACTGTTTTGATTGCAATTCAATACTTAAAAATCAGCTACTATATTACCTTTCTGTTAATTTAAATTTACTTTTAAAGATGTGTACATGATATTGTATATAAGCGAAGTGACAAATGTTGAGAAAAAAATGATTAAACGGCTAATCAGTTAAAACTAACAACTTGAAAACATTATATTGATGGTGTATAAATTATTGTATATTCCAAAAATATATTGTATTAATTTCAAATAAAATCTCTTAAAACAATTTTAAAAGTCTAATTTATTTTAAAGATATTAATGAATTTCTTCATTCATTATAAGTGCAAAGATAAGTAAGATCTGGTATCATAGTAATCTAGTTCTACAATCAAATCTCTTTGATCATTACATCATATTTAAGAAACTTTTAAACATTTGTACTTACAAACAATTCAGAAAAATTATATTAATAGGTTTAAATACATTTTCTCAGTTCCTGAAAATGAATCTTTATACAAAACAATTATTTTTTTATTAATTAGTATTTATTTTATTTATCTTTAAATAACAAAATAATTTTATCGTTTCGGTTTTGGATGCGTGTAACTGAATCATTTAATACAAACATTTGATTAATTTTGTTTGTCACTTAAAGAAATTAAATATAAAACCTATAAACTTTCATAAAATACAATAGTATATTTTAATAA